TTATATCAAGAAATTTAACATATTCCCATCTGCTTGAAAACATGTGAAATGAATGAAATATTTCTTGTCCAAATATATTTCATGGTGGACAGGCATGTAGCCGGGGGGGGGGGGCTTGGGGGGCTTCAGCCCCCCCTCCCCGAAAGTTTAATTCCTTCAAACTTCTAAACAGAAGTACATAATAATTTGTAATTTAATGTTGTTGTTGTTCATTCGTTCAGTCGTCTCCGACTCTTCGTGACCTCATGGACCAGCCCACGCCAGAGCTCCCTGTCGGCCGTCACCAGGTCAGTCCAGTCACTTCAAGGATGCCATCCATCCATCTTGCCCTTGGTCAGCCCCTCTTCCTTTTGCCTTCCACGTTCCCCAGCATAATTGTCTTCTCTAGGCTTTCCTGTCTCCTCATGATGTGGCCAAAGTACTTCAACTTTGTCTCTAGTATCTTTCCCTCCAGTGAGCAGTCGGGCTTTATTTCCTGGAGGATGGACTGGTTGGATCTTCTCGCTCCAAGGCACTCTCAGCACTTTCCTCCAACACCACAGCTCAAAAGCATCGATCTTCCTTCGCTCAGCCTTCCCTAAGGTCCAGCTCTCACATCCGTAGGTTACTACAGTGAATACCATGGCTTTGACTAGGCGGATCTTTGTTGCCAGTCTGATGTCTCTACTCTTTACTATTTTATCGAGACTGGACATTGCTCTCCTCCCAAGAAGTAAGCGTCTTCTGATTTCCTGGCTACAGTCTGCATCTGCAGTAATCTTTGCACCTAGAAATACAAAGTCTGTCACGGCCTCCACGGTTTCTCCCTCTATTTTCCAGTTGTCAATCATTCTTGTTGCCATAATCTTGGTTTTTTTGACGTTTAGCTGCAACCCGGCTTTTGCGCTTTCTTCTTTCGCCTTGATTAGAAGGCTCCTCAGCTCCTCCTCGCTTTCGGCCATCAGAGTGGTGTCATCTGCATATCTGAGGTTGTTAATGTTTCTTCCAGCAATTTTCACCCCAGCTTTGCATTCATCCAGCCCCGCACATCGCATGATGTGTTCTGCATACAAGTTAAAAAGGTTTGGTGAGAGGATGCAGCCTTGCCGTACGCCTTTCCCAATCTTGAACCAGTCTGTTGTTCCGTGGTCAGTTCTTACTGTTGCTACTTGGTCCTTGTACAGATTCCTCAGGAGAGAGACAAGTTGGCTTGGTATGCCCATCCCACCAAGAACTTGCCACAATTTATTATGATCCACACAGTCAAAGGCTTTAGAATAGTCAATGAAGCAGAAGTAGATGTTTTTCTGAAACTCCCTGCCTTTTTCCATTATCCAGCGGATATTGGCAATCTGGTCTCTCGTTCCTCTGCCTTTTCTAAACCCAGCTTGAACATCTGGCAACTCTCGCTCCATGTATTGCTGGAGTCTTCCTTGCAGGATCTTGAGCATTACCTTACTGGCATGAGAAATAAGGGCCACTGTACGGAAGTTTGAGCAGTCTTTCGCATTTCTCTTTTTTGGTATGGGGATATAAGTTGATTTTTTCCAGTCTGATGGCCATTCTTGTGTTTTCCATATTTGCTGGCAAATGGCATGCATCACCTTGACAGCATCATCTTTTAAGATTTTAAACAGTTCAGCTGGGATCCCGTCGTCTCCTGCTGCCTTGTTGTTAGCAATGCTTTTTAAGGCCCATTCAACCTCACTCCTCAGGATGTCTGGTTCTAATTCATTCACCACACCGTCAAAACTATCCTCAATATTATTATCCTTCCTATACAGATCTTCTGTATAGTCTCGCCACCTTCTCTTGATCTCTTCAGCTTCTGTTAGGTCCCTGCCATCTTTGTTTCTTATCATACCGATTTTTGCCTGAAATTTACCTCCAATGTTTCTAATTTTCTGGAAGAGGTCTCTTGTCCTTCCTATTCTGTTGTCTTCCTCCACTTCCATGCATTGCTTATTTTAAAATAGTTCCTTTATGTTATGTTTATTCATATCATGATCTGATCACCATGCTCAATATATCCCATATGCATGGGGGTATTGGGGTAATGATACAAAAGGTTTGCTAGGGTAGACCCTCTTTCACTCAGACTCAGCCCCCCCCCCCAATCAAAATCCTGGCTACGGGCCTGATGGTTGAAAATAAGTCACTGTTCCCTAACCCCATTCACAACCCAGATAATGGGCTTCATGAAAACTCAATTACCTACACATTGAGCAAAAACATGTCATTGGTTATCTACTGTCACAAAAAAATTAACCTTTTCCATTGTTGGTTAAAACTATACGCTTTAGTACCTTGTAAAATACATTAAATTTCTTAATTTATATTTAAATTAGAAAATTAAGCAGCAGGTGTACAGTAAAGACACATTATTCTCAGTTGAAACCAGAAGCTGAAAAGTTCATTTAGAGGGCAATAGTTCCTAGGATTTTCCAGGTCACACAGACACAGCCTAGAAGCTATAGTCTAAAAAAGTAAAGTTTCCAAATTGGATGAAATATAAGAGGAAAACATGAGGACTGCTGTAAGCTTTAGATTTATGCACCCTCTCATTTCCCTTGATAACCAGAAGATATCACAAGCATCTCTTTCTGGTTTCAAAACAACCACAGTGCCCTGTACTACCCAGTTTATGGAAACTACAGTCTTCTCACTAGGTAATTAAAATGATGATTAAAACAGCATTAAATAACAATATAACTAAAATCTTAAAATCTAACTTTAAAATAGACAATAAAAACAATACCCCACTAAAAGCCTTTTCCTTGTTAAAATCAGTTTCCAAAGGTTTGCTGGAAAAGAAATGTCTTAACGTTCCATCAAGGAGCCCCTGGTGGTGCAATGGGTTAAACCCTTGTGCAAGCAGGCCTGAAGATTGACAGGTAAGAGGTCTGAATCCAGGGAGAGCATGGATGAGCTTCCTCTGTCAGCTCCAGCTCCCCATGCAGCAACATGAAAGAAAACTCCCACAAGGATGGTAAAACATCAAAACATCCAGGCGTCCTCTGGGCAATGTCCTTGCAGACAGCCAATTCTCTCACACTAGAAGCGACTTGCAGTTTTTCAAGTCACTCCTGACATGAAAAAAAAAAGTTCCATCACAAGGAAAACAAGATTTTCCTAGGGAGGGAATTCCAAAGTATGGAGGAATCTGCAAAGAGAGCCTTCTCCTGCTTTGCTATCAATCACCTCTGTGAAAATGGCAGGATTGAGTGAAGCGCCTCTCCTATAGATGTTAAAGAGCAACAGACTCATATAGGAAGATATATTTCGGATAGCATGGGCCTGGACAATATAGAGCTTTATAGATCAAAACTAGCACTTTGAATTGTGCCTGGAAATAAATCAGCAGCTAGTGGAGATGTTGCAACAAGTAAGATCTTTGAACCAGCTTCTGAACACGTCCCAGGTAGAAAGCATTGCAGTAATCCAATCAGGATGTAACTAAAGTATGTGTCACAGTAGCCAAATCAGGTGTCCTGAGGAACAAGCACAGTTAGTGCACTAGCTTTAATTGAGCAAACACACTCCTCATCACAACAAAAATCTGGCCCTCAAGTTTCTAGGCTGAGTTTAGGAATACAACCAGGCTGTGGACCTGTGTCTTTGGGTGACTATAAACCCACCCAATATAAACTGAATCCCTATTCCCTGATCTTCTTTTTGACTGCCCAGGAGCACCTGGATTGAATATCAATTTATTCACAATCATCCAGTCCATTACTATCAACAGGTATTGGTTTAGAAAAGTAATAGTTCCTTGGACAGAGGTGGAAAGAGGAGATAGAGATGGGTATCGTCAACACTGGTAACACCTAGCCCCAAACCTGCAGATAACCTTTCTCAGCTACTTCATACATAGGTTAAATAGTATAAGGGACAAAACAGTTCCCTGTGAGTCCCCAGAAGCAAATGGCCAAGGGGTTTAATAGGAGTCAGCACCTTCTGGGTTCACCCCTCCAGGAAGAAATGGAGCCACTGAAAATTGGTGCCTCCCAAGTCACATTCAGTAAGACAATCCAGAAGAAGACCATGAATGCAATTGAATGCCATTAAAAAGGCATCCATCACAGTGACCAAAGCTGTCTCCATCCCATAACAAGTCCTGAAGCCAGACTGAAATGAATCCAAATACCTAGGACCTTATTAGACACAGGGACAGGAGCATCTCCCTTCTCTCCACTGCCAGAATGGAGTCCCACAGAGCCCATTGCACGACACAGGGCTACTTGTGGCAGGACTTCCATGGGGCTCTGTTGTGTCAGCAGAGAGAAACTGTGCCCAGTGGAGTCTGATGTTGTCCTGACTTCTCATTGAAGAAGAGAAGAAGAGGCGAAGACAAAGTGGGGAAAGATGGGGAAACAATGTGGGAAGAAAGAAGACAGACCTCGATGGGAGGGAACAGAGCTTAACAATTCCCTTTGGTGTCCCATGCTTTCTTCCACTTTAACCCTGCCCATATGATAAGGTCCATTGTCTCATCCAGAAACACATTTGCATGTTACAGGAGTATTTCCTTTCAGAAGTTTCTGATCTTCACCTCGTGAGCGGAAAAAGATGACCAAAAAGCATAGAAGCCGAGCAGTTCAACTACACAGTGTGAAATTTATGATTGGGAATGTTGTCACTGTTTTAGTCCATTGCAACAAAGAATTTTGGGGCAAGATTTATTTTATATATTTTTGTCGATTGAGAAGTAGGCCACAAAAGTCTATGGCAAAAACACTTTCATTTTTAGGATGCCACAAGAGCTCTGTAATTTATGATTTGAAGTTATACCAGACTGTTTTCTGAATGTGCAGCACATAAAAATTGTTATTGTTATTATTATTATTATTTATACCCAGGGATACTCAAAGGATATTTAAAGCAGCTATCAAAATTACTTTTTGTGAAGACATGAATGGATCAAAGAAGCTCATAAGTACAACAGGAATATGCAAAAGATTTTCTCATAAATTATGTGTTATAAAGTAGGAGATAGTATGTGGCTATTGATAGTTTCTTACCTCTCAATTGACATCAAAGATGAAAGTAAATATTGGTTTTAAGTAAGACTATTCGGTTCATTAATCCAGTTAAAAATTGTTCTTTAGCATCTTCGGCACCTATTTTAGGGAACAAAATTTAAAAAAGAGCTTCAGCAAGCTGGGCAAAATAATCCCAATTCATTTCTACCACAATGTACTTTTGTACATGAAGATGTTATATACTTAGGTGATGGGTCTCTGTGACATTTTGGATCCCCCACCACTGGCTGACGAACAGAGATCAGAACATCGGCTATTTCAATTTCTACACAAACCACAGTAAAAAAAAAAGAAGGTAGTTCTGTTCTAGAAGTACCAAGTGTAAACAATGATAATTTCCCCTTTATAATATGAGTATAGAGTGGATAGAGGTCTGATCTTTCATCACTTATCAGTATTTTATAAAAAGAAGACAAAAACTCTTCAAAACAGACTCGCTGTGTATATGTCTTACACTTGACTTTCTCCACCTGAGCAAAAATTCCCAAGCCTACATATCAATTGTTTTCAATGGTTCTAATATAAATGGAACGGGGGATGGATCTACACTGTCCTATATCCCAGGATCTGATCACACATTATCTGAACTGGATTTTATGAGTCTACATTGCCAAATAATCTGGGATAAAAAGACAATCTGGAACCAGATTCTGGTATACAGGGCAGTGTAGATCCAGCCTGAGGTTTCAATTGAGACCACAGCTCAAGATCCAACAATATTATTTAGTATCCAGTGCCAATGGAAAGAGGACCCTCTTGCCCTCTCATTACACACCCACATGTTCCAGCAGGGTTCTCAGCCTGCTAAAGCAGAGCTTTGGTACACAGGGAGAATGCAGAGGGAAAAGAGGTTCCAGATTTTGAGCTAAGACCCACGATCCCAGACAAGTACAATTTATGTATAAGACAGTCCTACATATGGTGCATATGCAAAAAAGTATGTAGGCAGAGGATAACACTTTTTGATTATAAAATACTTTTGCCAGCTGACAAATCTGTTACAGATACATTCTATGTACATAACCTGAATCTAAGGTTCATCATTATCTTGGGGTTGGTTGCTCTTAAAATGGCTCCTTTTAAGGAAAAGCCCCTACAGTTTTGCATTGCATTAATCGCTTTTTATTATCAAGTGTTGCTGTCACAGGTTGAACAATATACATAAACTCACAAAATCTCCAAACAGTATATTCAGGGTATTTATAACAAATTATTTTTAGAATAACATCATCTGCTATGCATTCCATGTATGTATTCTGATTCTTATGTCTATAAAAATGATCTTACAAGTAAAACTTCATTAGATTAAATATTTTCTTTTCTGAACTGTGTGGAGGGAATAATTAAATAATCAACTAGCATCCTACATACTAAGAGCAGGTGTGTTATGCAAAGAACCACAGGCCCCAAACTTTACTTTACTTAAAGGGCTGGTTTGATACATTATGAGATCCAACCATTAAAATAGTTCATTATATAAAACTAAAATAAGTAGAGGTAGTATCAGTTTGAGGTAACTAGAATTCTTTTACTGAAAATTATACAATAAACCTATTTTATCTAAATAAATAGAAAATGCTGTTTGTCATTTTGAATCAAGCTAAATAACACATCACAGTAAGACATGTGACATTTAGACTTACTGTTTTTGTATATAATTTATAGTCACTTTTTTCTCTATTATAAGAAAGAGGCAAAACAATATAATATACAATTTAAAGCCTAAAGATTATAAACACTGATTATAAAGATAGAATTAATCCTAGGACTATTAAAAATAAATAGTTAAAACCATTAAAATAATCAAAATCCTATTTAAAATACATAAAACAACACAACACTCCCTGAGTTGATGTTAAAACCTTTCTTCTTTAACACTCTGCATGAAAAGAAAGGTTTTCACCTTCCTCTGGAAGGAAAGCAGGGAGGGGTTCTCTCTAGACAGAGAATTCTAGAATTGAGGGACAGCCACTGAGGCTTCATCTACACTGCCATATAATCCAATTTCTAAAACCAGATTAACTGGATTGAACTGGATCTTAATGCAGTATGGACACATATAATCCAGTTAAATGCAGTTAATCTGCATTCTGAAACTAGATTATATTGTAGTATAGATCAGACATGGGCTAACTTTTTCGCCCTGGGGGTGGGCTGGGCTGGGAGGGAGGATGGGGTGGGCCCAGGAGGAGGTGAGGTGGGGGATGGGGCAGGCCCTGGAGGGATGGGGATGGGAGTGGGATGAGCCCAGGAGGGGCAGGATGAGCCCACATGGGAGAGGGGGGACAGGAGGGGGAGGGCGGGGCCAGGGCAGTTCATCCACAGGCTGTCCTCCCAGCATAAAGATGAGACTACTGAAGAGGCTTTGGAGCCCCCTTGGCTGGCACCTGCCTCCTTCGCAGGCCATGCTTCTCCCGGCATCAGGCATCCCCTCTACCTGAAGCCGGGAGAAGGGAGAGGTAGGCGGCTTCTGAGCAAGCTTTGGAACCCCCTTGGCTGGTACGTTTATTTATTTGCTGTATTTGTATACCGCCTTTCTCAGCCTATCGGCGACTCAAGGCGTGCTTCTCCCCCAGGCGTGCTTCTCCCAGAATCAGGACAGAGCCACTCACCTCATCCTTTTGCTGGGAGAAGAGCCTGAGGAAGCACTCCAGTGGTCTCCCAGCCACTGCGTGCCTTCCTCCCCGTCCTTTCAGCCAATGTATCATTATGCCCAGTGGACACAGAAAATTTGGAGAGCCAGACATAAGTGCCCAGAGGAGAGTGTCTGGCCTGTAGGCCTTAGTTTGCCCATGCCTGGAATAGATCCAGCCTGAGAAAGCTCTCTCTTATGTCCCCACCAACTATACTTTTGATGGTGGTGGAAATGAGAGAAGTGCCGCCCTGGTTTAGTTTATAAAGAACAAGTTATATTTAAGACCATTGTTCTTTAGATATTGATTGGAAATCAAACGGATCAAAATTAAATTAAATATTTTTAAAGTTTTGGAGCCCTTCTTTAAGATACAGAAGATCTTCAGATTCAGTACCCAAAAATAAGGTTTTATCCTTATTTGTCATCACCAACACAAACACTTGAATAACTTCTGATCAGAAGGAGCCTAAGCATCAGGCATAATCAAGCACAACTCTTCCAGGAGGCTGACAGTGCAACCTGATGCATATTTACTCAGAAATGAGTCACAGTCAGTTCAGCAGGTAAGAATCTACAGCCTTGTTGTCTTGGTGGGAAATAGTATGCAAAAAAATCAATAGACCACACTTCTGTTTTCTGCTTACTATCTTGGATTCTAGCTATTTACCCCAGGTTACAGAAACCCCATTCATGTATTTATAAATGTGTTATGTCAATATGCAAAGAAGAGAAACATCCTAGCTCTATCATCTTCGTCTTCAGCCCCACTGCCTTCCAACATGTAGTAGGAATAGTTTGAAGTAGAGAGCTACTCATAGAGGTTCTCCAATTAAGTTTGAACCCATATTTTTCATGGTTTCAAATCACATGGATGGCTACCATGGATAATGGAAGCTCCCTGTTTCTAACCCATCATCCATCACACATTTAGCATTAAGGAAATTATAATTGAGGGAACAAGTTTAGTTATATTTTTATTTGACCTGCTGAAAATTTTATTGATTATACCTGATAGAGTCTTAAAGCAGTATGAGGCATGGATCCTGAAATCAGAAAACACATCTTCTGATTATTATTATTTGCTTCATTTCTATACCGCATCTTCTGATCTACAACCTATCCAACCATGCCCATCTGCTGAAGGGAGCCAGTAGGATGACAGCAACCAGCTAAAAGCCACTGCAAACTTCTCTTGCCACATAGGGTTAATGACATAGTGGCCTAACAAGGTATATAGACCTTCTCTACTACCACTACAAGGATCCAGTTTTGCAAGGGTGCAACTAAATGGGAGGGACAGGAGCAAAGTAAAGATTTCAGCTTTCATGTCCACCCTGGGGAGCCTGGTCATTAGCAGCCTGGGAACTGTATGACCCTTCCCACCATTCATGTGGAGTATGTGCCAGAGACAGAACTCCTTGGAGGAAAGCACACTGCCAGGGGAAGAAGGTGCAATTTCCTTTCCCGAAGTTAGCAAATAGGGACTCTCAGAAAATCTCTATCCAAAGTCAATGAAACCAAGTTCAGTTGCACTGGTTACCACCCAGAAATTCATATTTTTGTGAACGGATTATCATGCAAATAAAAAAAACTACACACAAATGTAATGCAAAACTGTAATGAAATTCTATTTCATGAACCTCACATGAAAGAGCCACCACCAGCAAATGCATTCCAGTATGAACAAAGGGGGTCCTTTACTTGGGTTTAGTCTAAAGCAGTGGTTGTCAACCTGTGGGTCCCCAGGTGTTTTGGCCTACAACTCCCAGAAATCCCAACCAGTTTACCAGCTGTTAGGATTTTTGGGGATTGAAGGCCAAAACATCTGGGGACCCACAAGTTGTCAACCACTGGTCTAAAGGCTTACATACAGGAAAGTGTGCAGGCATAACAGATTGGAAAGGGAATACCCACAACTAGACAGAACACGGATGTGGTTTTATTGGAATCCGTGTCAACATCTAAAGAATGGAACAGGCCTGAAACCCATTTGAAGTTGGAAGTTTTCACATATTCTTCTCTCCCTCCTTTCAACATTTAAGAACTGTATTTTCTACAGAGGCAAAAAACATAGCCTATTTAGAACATCCTCAAGACTGCCATCCATAAAATATCCAAGACAACCACAAACAAGTTCCTTCCAGCTATTTTGGACTTCAGTTACAATCAGCCCCAACAAACTTGGACACAGATCAGGAGAGTTGGGAACTGTATTTAAAAACATGTGAAGGGTATCAAATAGGAAAAGACTGAAATCTAACATAATATATGGTTACCAGTGCAGTACACTGAACTACTTTCTACCACTGTAAACAAAAAGTGGTCAGATGCTTAGAGGATTGATAGTTTATCATCAGGAAGAGGTTAAATGGGTTGATCAGAAACCTGGTAGTATAAGATAGCATTATTTGCATTTATTTCAAGGTAGAAAAGTTATTTTTTC